TGAAGTAATTTGAATGAAATTTTCAATATTTTCATTTTACATTATCTATTTTTGAGCTATTATAGCAAGAATGGTCAGCTCTTTATCTAAATCTTACACAATGTATCTTTAAACCCCATTTCTCTCTTTTTGTCAACAAGGAAAGAAAGTTTTGTTATAATCGATATTTCTACTTATCTTTGAAATCTCAGCTGTATTTTGCGTTTTCTTAAAGAAATATCTTAAATGTGATTGTGTTTATACTTGACGATAAATAATTAAATATAGCGTGATAATAAGTTTAGTTATATAATCAATGGCTTTTATTTATTTAAAGATTACACAGGATGGCTGAATGGTTAGCACGTGCACTGTATCATATGGTCTGTCATTGAGTCAACTGGCGGGGTTTCGATTCCTCTGTTGTACGTGACAAGGAGTAGGGTCGCTTGTCCAACCTTGTGGGTTTTCTCCGGGTCCTCCGGTTTCCTCCCATTGCTAAAGACCCCTACGCGCATGCGAATGATTGAAATAAAGTTGAACCATGTGTTAGTCCCGAAATGACCTAGTTTGTGTCGAGTGGACGTTAAGCCCCATTTCTCTCTCTCTCTCTCTCTCTCTCTCTCTCTCTCTCTCTCTCTCTCTCTCTTTTTATTTATTTAAAGATTACACAGGGGGGTTTGATGGCTGAATGGTTAACATGTACAAGTTAGATCATAAGGCCTGTCATTGAGTCAAGTGGCGAGGTTTCGATTCTCCACTTGTACGTGACAAGAATTAGGTCCAACCTCGTGGGTTTTCTCCGGGTCCTCCGGTTTCCTCCCACTGCTAAAGACCTGTACGCGCAAGCGGATTATTAAGATGATATTGAACCATATTAAAGATACATTATGAAAAATATAAATTTTAACATATTTACAAATTATTTGGAGGGTTTCTGTTCCGATTGGACACATTATTCCTGTTGCATATTTCTTGTAAAATCTTTTTTTCATTTTCAGTCTATCCTGTATCATTACAGGCCCGGTTCTGTACAGTACAGTGGATGCTTACCACTGCCCCCCTCCCCCGATTTGGAGGGTTTCTGTTCCGATTGGACACATTATTCCTGTTGCATATTTCTTGTAAAATCTTTTTTTCATTTTCAGTCTATCCTGTATCATTACAGACCCGGTTCTGTACAGTACAGTGGATGCTTACCACTGCCCCCCTCCCCCGATTCATTCACTTGATTTAATATTAGGCGTGGTTACCCCTTGTCAGTGATGCAGGACGGAGGTCCTTACAAGGACAGCTGTCTAGTCCTTCGGATGACACGGAAAACCGAGGTCCTGTGTATACATTGGAATGCACGTAAAAGATCCCGTGGCAGTTGGATCTCGATATAAGAGTAGGTGATAGTGCCACTGCCTGGGCAAAATTTCCCTCGTAGCACACTGTATGGCGTATGCCCGTCTTCATTAGCCCAGTATAGGAGCAGAACAGTAGGACGTTAAACCCCATTTCATTTCATTTCATTTCATTTGTTTATGTTTTGCAATGTCTATGTAGGTTGTCTTGTCAGTTTTGTTTTGGGTTTAGTGGGTTCTTCTGGAATTAATATTATAACATGTGAAGCCACATGTGAAGCCCGAAAAAAACTATCTGCAATCAATAGGCAGAGACGAGAGAGCTATCACTCCTAGCTTTCATTTCAACAATAAATTCTAAATGTCTCCGGGGCTAAATAATCCCTCTAACACAAGCATGTTTATTCTTGTGACCATTTGAACCTGTATGGTTCTAACGAGGTGTGCTCAGATTTAATTAGGTGTCGATTAATGATTTAACGGGTAGTCAAGTGTTGATTAGAGGAGTAGCAGACGTCAAATATAGTTTGAGATTCCTTTCATGAGTGCTACAAAACAACTTAATAATTCATCTCACACACAGGCACAGATCCGGAGAATTATTATCATGCCTGTCTCTCGTCTAGAAGACCATAATCAGATTCTTACGGTTGATCATAAAAGTGAATTCAATCAGCTCATCTCGACTTACTGGCTGTTTAATTAATGGATAAATATCTTCTTACATATAATCAATATGGACATATAGACTATAGATAAACCGTCTTCATTAGGCCAGTCGGAATGGAACAGCAGGACATTAAACTCCATTTTATTAGTCCAGTCAATCAGAACAGTAGGACATTAAACTCTATATTATGAGCGAGGGGGGGGTGGATGGCCAAATGGTTAGCATGTGCGCGCTGTATGATAAGGTCTGTCATTGAGTAAACTTGCGTGGTTTCGATTCCCCGGTTGTACGTGGCAAGGAGTAGGGTTGCCTGTCCAACCTCGTATGTTTTATCCGGGTCCTCCGGTTTCCTCCCACTGCTAAAGACCCCTTCGCGCAAGCGAATTATTGAAATAAAACTGAACCATGTGTTAGTCCCGAAATGATCTAGTTTGTGTCGAGTGGATGTTTCTCTCTGTCTCTCTCTCTCCTCCTCTCTACCCATTTTATGAGCCCAGTCGGAGCAGAACAGTAGGACATTAAACCCCATTTTATGAGCGCAGTTGGAGCAGAACAGCAGGATATTAAACCCCATTTTATTCATTATTGAAAATTGATATTCAAACTTGTAGCTTGTCTTTAGTTCATTATATGTTGGGTTTTATGAGAAAATTGATCATTTTGAAATAGCAAGATTTGGATTAAAATAAAGGTTTTTTTTTTCAGCATTCTGTAGAATTTTTTAAACAAGCAAATAAGCGATGTATGATTTGCATTCTTGGAAAATATGAAATTTCTCATGGCTTAATCCACGCTAATAAGATTAATTGTAACATGGATGGGAAATCTTCCTTTGTTTTTTTCGTTGAATATGCAGATTGTTTTCCCTCTAGTAGATTGGGTGGAGCTTAACCGTGCAATAACTAGACGTGTTCAATGTTATTGCACTCTTTTGCTGGTTTACACTAGTTTTAGTAAAAATCATATAGAGAAGTGGGGTGGGTTTTCTGTGCAATAACAACAAGCATGTTGAGCAGTTGTCAATGTTACAAGTCATTTATAGCATGCTTCATTCGTTAACAGGTTTAACCCTTTTGGCCTCTGGTTAAACCTGTTAACTCACGAAAGCCGTGCAATAAATTTAACTTATTTATCATTTAATTCAAAAGGCTAAATCTGCCTATTGCAAGTCTTTTTTTAGACCTGAAATGTTATCTAAATTTTAAATAAGACATTAATTAACATAAAAAGGCTTTAATCAATGCTCGATGCCATCTTATTCGTCAGATTTTTTCTGGATTTGAATCAAATCTGCTGCTCAATGCTCATTGATGATTAAATCCAAAAAATGGATAATCGAGACTTTAGTAATGATGATCGAGGCTAGGCCTAAAAATCAATCAGAGTGGAGCAATTTGACTAAAATTTTCAGAATACTCCTGTTACATTGTCCTTAACTATTATAGTGAGAACAGCCAGCTCTTTACCTAAACTTCCATAATGCCCGTTTAATTAATAAATCAGTTCCGATCTAGACCACGAATTGAATACATGTACCAGATAGGTGTAAATTACTAATTGGTTTAATTACTAAATCAGATTCATTTAGATTAGTAAAACTTCTTTTTTTTTCTGGTCTGACTGGGCTAATGAAGACGGCAATTAGCTCACTGTAGAACGGTACCATTTAATCTTGTGTATTTAGCTTTAATTTCTTTCACATTCATTCAGTATGTAATGTTTGTTTGAAAAATTGTATAAACTCACCCCAAATCATCTAATTTGTACTTGCGTCTAGTTTAACGGTGATTGTTTTATTTTGGTCACGGTGGCTAAGTGGGTTGAGATGCTGGCTTGCTAGCCTGGAGGTCGAGTGTTCGATCCCAGCATTGGCCGAGAAAGTTTTCCCTTGTCAGTGATGTAGGATAGAGGGCTGTCTAGTTGTTCAGATGGGATGAAAAACCGAGGTCCCGTGTACACATTGGCAGGCACGAAAAAGATCCCTTGACAGTTGGAATTCGATATAAGAGTAGGCCATAGTGCCGCTGTCCGGGCAAAATTTCCTTCATATCACACTGTATGGTGTATGCCCGTCTTCATTAGCCCAATTTGGAGCAGAACAGTAGGACATTAAACCCCATTTCTCTCTCTCTCTTTAACAGGGGCTATACTATATACCGGAAAACTACCAGAAAACACCATGTTATACTGAATATCGGAAAACACCGGAAAAACACTAAATACCAGAAAGCACACTAAATACCGAAAAACACCCTAAATAAGTAACCCGGAGAAGGGGTATACTATAAACCGGAAACTAACCCTAACCCTAACCCAGGCACACAGAGGACCAGGCTCCGGGTTACCTATTTAGGGTGCCAGTCTCTGGGTTACCTATTTAGGGTATTTTCCGGTATAAAGTGTGTTTTCCGGTATTTAGTGTTTTTCCAGTGTTTTCTGGTATTCAGTATAACATGATGTTTTTCGGTAGTTTTCCAGTGTTTTTCAGTGTTTTCCGGTATATAGTATTGTCGCTTTAACAGGGTGACTGATGGGAAAATCATTTCGTTACCTATTCAAACACGATTCAATATGACTTTGAGATATGACCATTTTTAGTCACCCAAATATTTAGCTGCCCAGGGGCAGTTTAATCTGTTCTTAGAAGTAGGCTTGAGGTGCACAAGATTTCATAGTAAAGAAAATAAACTCATTTTGCTCCCTCGGAGCAAATGTTGAATTCTGGTAACTTTAAAACTTGAATAAATAAATAAATAAAAAAAACGGTCAGCACGATAATTTGTACCATTTCCCACCACACATGACCCGAGACGAGAATGTTCTTGTAAACACACATGTAATTTGGCACTCCACCAATTATCACATGCTGGCCAAGACAAACTAAAAACAAATAAGAGTTGTCTCCCTTCACAGACAAGAGGCAGAAATGATCTCAGAATTATAGTTTAAAGATTAACAAAATTTCCAATATCCTAATGGGAACTTTTATTTTTTCGTTACAGAAAGATTTAACAGTCCACCGTAAAGGAAGGTAAGTGTCGTAATATTTTAATATATTTATTAAGGTTTCCGTAGTACTTATTATTCCTATAAATAGATTTCTATATACCATGAGTGTTGTTGTGGTTGCCATAATCATATGTAAAGTCAAGGTTAAGATTCTTCTTCTGCTTCTACAAGGTTGATTTTACAGACAATGGTTTCCTAGGGAACTTGCTGTAAAAGCCCTAAGTGAATGAGGAGCTAGAGGGGGTAAATATGTGGGTGCCTGCATTTTCTTATGGTTAAAAGACATGTCTGTTAGCTTTTATATCGAATACATTGAAAAATGTGTAGACGTCCGAGAGATCCATAGATTTACCTAAAACAGCTTGAAGTACCCTAAACAACTTGTATTTTGGTTAAATCTATGGACCACCTTTTCGAGAACTATTTTCAAATGGGCTAACATATGAGATCAATTCAAAGAATTTCTTGTTTGGTTCTCTTTCACATGACTTTACCAATTTTAAATTTAGTGTAGGTTGATGAAAGGATGCAGTAGTCTGTCTGCCATATTCTATAATATGATTATGGACGATGTCTGCAGTAGAATCGTGTCTTGCAATTGAGAATCATATTTTACAGACTGGGATGTTTTATGATTTATTAACTCTGCCCAAAGTTGGAGAGTTGAAAGGTGGAGTGGTTAAATGCACATGCTTTAGATCTGTCTTGACCAAATTTGGAGGGTTAATAGGTGGAGTGAATAATCCACATGCTTTTATATCATAAGATGTCTTTGAGTGGCATGGTTTCGAGCCAAAACTTGTATGTGAGAAGGAGTAGGGTTGTCTGTCAAACCTCTGGTTTCCTCCCACTGCTAACTATATAAAGACCACTATATGTGCATGCAAATTTACTTCCCTTTAGTCGCAAAATGATCTAGTATGTTTCAATTGCATGTTAAACTCTCTCTATCTCTGACCAATTTCTTGAGTATCAAGATTGAAGTTATATAGTGTATTCTATATTTGTACTCTACTCCATGTGTTGTTACTGGCAGATGTGCGTGCAATACATGTACATGTTGTTTATTATTGTTTCAGTTGTTGGGTTGGATTACCTTACTCATCCACCAGATTCCTTAAAATACACTACATATTACATCCCTTCTGTCACTCATTTAGTTTTACTTACAAAAATATTTGAAAATTGATGCCTGGAAATAAGGAATCTGTCACAGACAATGTCAGGCACTAATAAAACCTCTGGTGCCTGTAATTTTGTCTGGCACTAATTTGTCTTTTTTTCTTTCTTTTTTGATATTATTAATAAATGTCTGACACTAAGTTGAAAATGTTAGGTACTATTTCATTAGTGCCTGACATTTTGTCAGGTACATCTAAAATCGTCATTTCCAAGTGTGGACTGTTTGATCTTGGACGTTTTAATTCATTAAGGGGAGCCACGGTGGCTAGGTGGGTAAGGCGCTGGCTCGCTAGCCTGGAGGTCGGGTGTTCGATCCCTGCATTGGCCGAGAAAGTTCATCCCGATTTTCCGACGTGGTTTCCCCTTGTCAGTGATGCAGAACGGAGGGCCTGACAAGGACAGCTGTCTAGTCCTTCGGATGAGACGAAAAACCGAGGTCTCGTGTAAACATTGGAATGCACGTAAAAAATCCCTTGGCAGTTGGAATTCGATACAAGAGTAGGCGATAGTGCCGCTGCCCGGGCAAAATTTCCCTCATAGCACACTGTATGGCGTATGCCCATCTTCATTAGCCCAGTATAGGAGCAGAACAGTAGGACGTTAAACCCCATTTCATTTCATTTCATTTCATTAATTCATTAAGTGGGTGGCTTAATGTTTTAACCCCTGCGCTGTAGATCAGGCCCAGAGTTCACAAAGCATTCTCAGACTCAAGTTAAAAATTTACTCAACTTTCAATCACTGTTTATGAGAAATGTCTTTGATCCAGAAACACAAAACTTAGCATATAGTTTCTCATTGTATTTGATACATTAAAACAAAAAAAAGGTCTGTCATTGAGACAGGTGGATAGATTTTGATTTGGGACTTGTACGTGACAAGGAGTAGGGTTGCCTGATTAACCTCAACGGTTTTCTCTTGAGTTCTCCAAATTCCTCTGGCAACTAATAACCCTTGCTTGCAAGAGAATTATTGAATTAAGATTGAACCATATGTTAGTCTTGCATTTTGTTTCTTGGATGAATTTAACAATAAGAATAACAATACCCTTAGTTTTTTTTAATGTTTCTGTAAATTTGATGCCATATTTATTTTTAATTTTTAGTCGAAATTATGGTCGAAAGTCTGGATTATCTACGTCTCCTACACTGCCCCAGAGATGTCCGTCGCCACAGACTTTGACAGACAGTAAGTAAACATTTATTAATTACAGGCACATGGCAAGAGGTAAATCTGCCTATTGCAGGTCTTTCTTTATGCCTTAAATATTCTCTAAATTATTAATTAGACATTAATTAACTTATCCAAACCATAATCAACTCTCGATGCCATTGTTAGCCTGCGATATTTAGTGGATTTGAATACATTTTGTGATGGATAATTTAACGTAAAAATGGATAATCAAGACTTTGTTTATTATTGTACCAAAGTTAGTAATGATGATCAAGGCTAGCGTAAAATTGAATCTCCAATATCTTAGTTCAGAGTTAAGCAATTTTCAGCATATCCTGTTTTTATTATCTATTAGCTCTTTATCTAATTTTAACTAATGCCCCTTTAATCCATGCTAATCTGTACCCAGATTGATGACTAAATACCGTTGAATTTCATAACATGAGGGTGTTGATTATATAAGAAATGTGGGAACCACAGTGGCTAAGTGGGTGAGACGCTGGCTCGCTCGCCTGGAGGTTGGGTGTTCGATCCCTGCATTGGCCAAGAAAGTTTATCGGGATTTTCCGACGTGGTTCCCCCCTTGTCAGTGGTTAAGGTTGGAGGGCCTGACAAGGACAGCTGTCGAGTCGTTCGGATGGTAAGAAAAACCTGAGGTCCCGCGTATACATTGGCGTTCATGTAAAAGATCCCTTGGCAGTTGGAATTCGATATAAGAGTAGGCCGTAATGCTGCTGCCTGGGCAAAATTTCCCTCATAGCACACTGTTTGGCGTATGCCCATCTTCATTAGCCCAGCCGGAGCAGAACAGTAGGACATTAAACCCCATTTCATTTCATTTCATTTGATAAGAAATGTGGGTTGTTGATCATATAAGAAATGCCTACATCATCGTACTATTCAAGTAGTTCCAATGACCTACATATACTATTCAAGAATAATTTTATTCAACTGAATTTACACTATATAAACTTAAACCAAATCATGCCGAAAGCATTTATCTCAAAATAGCTTTTTTGAACTAAGATTTTAAAAGATATTCCTAGTTTTTTTTACCCTTGAGTTGTGTAAATATTAAGAGTGTAGAGGGTGTATGAATAGATTGAGTTGTTGAGCAATATAATATCAACAGGTGCTCCAAGCAAATATTCTCAAATATTGACTTGCTCTATAATACAGTTCAGTGCATACATATATATTTGTCATACAAAGTTATTCCCCACTTGAGAACAGACCCAAAGCTAATTGACAATTTTAGTTGAAAGCACCAGGTGTATTTCGAGAATTTTGAGACGTCTACATGTATATTCTGTTTCCATCTAATAAAATCAGAAATGTTTATTTAGTCTTTGTGTGTATGGGAGATGTTTTTAAAGAAAAATATTGGTGTCAGCCATTATTACATATGTGGTAGAACTGTTTGAATACATTCTAAATATAATTTTAACACACAGATCATTGCTACGGTAGATACATAATGAAACGGAAGAGACACAAATAATGGAAAACAAGAGTTATCCCTCTATATAACTGAATTTCTGCTCGCTAATAATTCCTTTGTAGACCAAAAGTTGTTATGCAAGACTGCGTGAGTATATCTGACTATGATGGTGGAGAGCTGTATATTTTCAAGAATTGTCTCCCATGTATGGTTGAGAATATGATATTTCAGTTTTGTTCTTTAGGAACATTGTATTAAAGAAGAGGGGTCATTGCACCATATATTTGTCCAGAAATGGTCTCTCTCTCTTTCTCTCTCTCTCTCTCTCTCTCTCTCTCTCTATCTCTCTCTCACACACACACCCATACTTAGTCAATGGTCTGGTTCATTTAATGAGGCATTAAGGTTGAATGGGTTTGAGTAATGTTACTGACAGTCTTACATGTATCCCATACAGTATCCATCCATACTGTGAGTTTACTGTTCAAGGGAAACTACTCTTTCTAGATAAAACATTAAACAACCTCTATATTTTATGGCCACAGATCACCAATGATATCCCCATTGACTTTAATGTTAATTCTCGTCTCTTAGACCAGCTCAAACTTTTTCCCAAATTTTCATTGGGTAGAAGGCTTTCTACCACAGATGGAGCAACATGTGGCAACCTCTTGCCAAAAAGCACGTATGAGGTTCACCATGGAAAACTTGAGATACACAAGCTGGAAGTAGAGACAAGAAAACATGCTATTTTGGACCCTACATTTCAACCTAACCAACCTCTCAACTCTTGTATCCTTCCGCCTCAAAATCATGAATATTCACCAAAACCTGGTAGAAAATGTATTTTCAAACCCTTTTCTTCGATTCTGCACCAAAAAGTCAATAAAAATCACCATGCAAAAGAGGGAAAAAGGGAAAGGGAGGGAAAGACTAAAAATAACTTTTGCCCTACATTCGTGGGTGACGGCGTAGAAATATTTGGTGAGCTGTGTCCATATATCACAAACACTAAGGTACATCAATATATGACAAACAATTTATAAACAAATATCAAATATACCAATTCTAAAATATCAAAAAGATTTATTTCTGATTTGGGAGATTGAATTTAAGTAAGGGGTCATTCATTCCTTGTCAAATTGTCTTTAAAAATGGAAAAATTAAATCATACCTCTTTGATTTTTCTGAAATTTGGTTTATAAACTGATTTTATTTGAAAGACGTGACAATTTTTTTCCGATTTTAAAAACCGTTTCAATATATTATTACCATTACAGCTTCATGACGTTTGAGTTCAAATTTCTTGAAAATCAGACAGAAACTGCTTGACAAAATGGCAGCTCCTTGTATGCAAATGTTGTGAAAGTATGTGATACCAGGGTTGTGGACCCTCTAGAGCTCACAATTTTTATCCGATTTTGATGAAACTTAAAATATATCTTTATATCCCAAAGATTTCAGTCTCTGTCGATATTTGGATGGTTGGATGGCCAAATGGTAAGCATGTGCATGTTGTATCATAAGGCCTGTCATTGAGTCAACTGGCATGGTTTCGAATCCCCGGTTGTATGTGACAAGGAGTAGGGTCGTCTGTCCAACCTCGTGGGTTTTCTCCAGGTCCTCCGGTTTTCTCCCACTGTTAAAGACCCCTACACACAATTGAATTATTGAAATAAAATAAACCATATGTTAGTCCCGAAATGACCTAGTTTGTGTCGAGTGGACGTTAAACACCATTTCTCTCTCTCTCTCTCTCTCTCTCTCTCTCTCTCGATATTTGTGCATTTCAGACCATAACTTTTTGGATTATGGCCCTTGATTGTACGAAAAATCGCTTTTGTTTTTAGCTTGTTCTCTATCCATCTCTTGCCAGGTAACCACTGGTTATCCGTGTTTGATGGAACAAAAATATGTGTTTATATCCCAAAGATCTCAGTTCCTTTTGATGTTCGCACATATCGTATCTTCCTGGATGATGACCTTGATTATACGAAAAATCGCTTTTTGGTTAGCTTGTTCTCTATTCTCTTGCAAAATGTGGGTTTATCTGACATGGCAACCGTGTGTTTGTATTTCCCTGATTTTGAAATGAGGGTAGATGATTATATGATATCAAGATGATATTTATTAGCTTTTGTGACACCCAACATCTTTAATGAGTCATGAATATTCATGAGATTTCTGCAAGGAAAATCAATAATCCAGTATTTGTTGTTACATAGTTTCCTATTTGCATCGAATACCATCGCCTCGCTTCTTGCTCACATCAAATGCTTCAGAAAATCGTGATCACAGAAAATTCAATGAAAGTTATTCAAATTATTTGGAATTTATTCAGAAAGAAAATTGTTGTTGAATGAAATCTCTTATGATCTAAATCATAATCAGACACGAGTAAAATGGTAAAAAGTAATTTGTTTATTTAAAGGTCTGGGCCCTTATTCAAGAAAACTTAACAACCGAAATTTTAAGAAATACTGCAACTTCATTGGATATATGCAAATTGATTTTACTGGTCAGCCAATCGAATTGCTGTATTTCTTAAAATTTCGATTGTATCTTACTTTAAGTTTTCGTGAATAAGGGCCCTGGTTATCATTTGAGGATGTTTGAATCCCCTGTAAACTACAATATTGTGAAAGTTCAGGGCTTTGTTTTAGGCGCGCGCTTAACCTCTCCCACTCGAGGGGGTTAGATGGCCGAATGGTTAGCATGTGTGCGCTGTATCATAAGGCCGGTCATTGAGTCAACTGGTGTGGTTTTGAATCCCCAGTTGTACGTGACCAGGAGTAGGGTAGTCTGTCCTACCTCGTGGCTTTTCTCTGGGTCCTCCGGTTTCCTCCCACTGCTAAAGACCCCTACACGCAATTGAATTATTGAAATAAAATTAAACCATATGTTAGTCCCGAAATGACCTAGTTTGTGTCGAGTGGATGTTAAACCCTATTTTTCTCTCTCTCTCTCTCTCTCTCTCCCACCCAAAATTTGTGTGCCTGAAAAACAACACTCACTGAGAAAGTTCATTGGGATTTTCCGACATGGTTTGCCTGACAAGGACAGCTGTCTAGTCGTTCCGATGTAATGAAAACTGAGGTCCTGTACACACATTGTCGTTCACGTAAAAGATCCCCTGGCAGTTGGAATTCGATGTAAGACAAGAGTAGGCCTTCATAGCACACTGTATGGCATATCATGCCCGTCTTCGTTAGCCCAGTCGGAGGATGTTAAACCCCATTTCCTTTCTAACAATAAATGGTATATATCAGATCAAAGAAATGGTTCTGGGGCCCAGACGTAATCACCCACTGTACTGTACAGTCCCCGTCGGGGGTGTAGGGATACATGCTTCTCTCAAAGTAATAAACAAAATGTAATTCTATTTATAAATTGGCCTTGCCCGTTATTAAATATTTATTGTGAGAGGGAAACTATTTGAAATGTTAAAATGTCAAATAACAATGTCTAGACACAAAGCTAATAATCACACATCAATCTCTTCTTCAAAATAATCGTTATTTATTATCTCTAGTTATTGATTGGTCAGACCATGAATAAATATAAACATACCAAA